CATATGAAGTGGCTGCAGATTTTACATTCTCTTACTGTATATAACGTGATAAATTACTAAGCACATGAATGATTTAATGCAAAGTAGCCTATCTTGGTGAGGTTTATGTTGTAAATAATTCACATATTGTATAACTACACTGTAAAAATGTCTGTGATTTTAACAGTAAAAGTCTGTACTATCTACAGTGAAAACCTGTTAAACGATCAACAGCTAATTTCTGTACCAAATACGGAAAATAACTGTGACAGATCTAACCTTTGTTTTTCAGAAGCTAATTAGAGTGTCTGCAATCTCACCATACACCCTCATTCACTAGTCCCTAAATTATTCAACTGCTGCGAAACTCTTAAGCAGCTGTAAAAGTGTAATTTGTAGTTGTGAAAAATAGCTACACATGTGTATCAGTAAATTTGTACTTGCAGAGCAAATTTACAAATGTGTAGGTATTTTTTGTCTCCAACAAACACAACGCAACATTTACACCTGCACAAATCCTTCAGTACAGGTGCACAAATCCCATCGGACGAATCACAAATGCAGAAACTAATCTGCTCATGTTCTTTGCTACTATTGTTGCAGTGAATATGGTGCAAAACACATTCACACACCTGCATCCAGAAATTTGAAGTCACAGACAAAACTTGCACATCTGTAGATTAGAATGTGTATCCGCACAAAGAAAGCTGAACCTGTGTAGAATGTTTGATTTATATTTTTTCCAAGCACAAACACAAATATGTTCCTGCAACTGCTCAAATCTGCCGCTACGAGTTTCAAGCGCTGTTTTTCACTTGCAAATCTACATTTCCCTCTCTCGCTCTTCTGCACCAAACATCACTGTGACATTTGGTGCAAAAGTGACTTGTGCATCTGCCAACCAAAACAAGGGCTCTCAGAGAAATTCAGCCAATAGGGGATGGGGCATGACATCACTGCTTTAGCGCTGCGGAGGCGAGTAAGGGGAAGTTGCAGGCCCGGAGACCCAACTTTTATTGTTTTTTAAAGTTTATCAATTATTTATAAGTTCTGTAATGATTACAAACACGTTTTTTTGGCATTAAAATATCAGTTAATCTGCATAGAATTTACAATATAAGCTCTCTTAGGTGAAAACAAACATAATTTGCTTGTGGTGTGTATTTTTTCCCTGATTGATATTACATTTAAAAAGTGGGTCTCTGCCACACTAATACAATGTACCAAAGACTGCAGATATTTCCAGATTTTTACTCTAGTAATGAAAAATCTCCTCAATAAGAATGTAAAGCATTTATTTTATTTGATGTTATTTTCTACGTAAAAAATAATTATTACTCCAGTTATTATTTTTCACCATTTTTCTATGCATTGTTTACAACTTGACTTGTAGGACCTCATGAAAAAGTACATAAAATTAAAGTTTGTTGTGAGAAAATTACTTAGAGTACTATAATTGTATGTGAAGAAATTTATAGTATATAAAGATAATATTCATTCCCTCAACTCAATAGGAAAAAGTGATAAATCCTTAATGATAAAAAAACAACAACAAATGTCTGAAAATATTGAAGTAACTAAACAATATCTATTTACAAATACAATTAATAAAAATACAACAGAATTAATGCATTAAATCAAAAATCTAGGTAACACTTTACAATAAGGTTCATTAGTTAATGCATTTACTAACACAAACTAATCATGAACAACACATGTACAGCATTTATTAATCATAATTGAACATTTACTAATGCATTATTAACATCCAAGTCCATGCTTGTTAACATTAGTTAATGCACCATGAGTTAACATGAACTAACAGTAAACTCCTGTATTTTCAATAACTAACGTTAACTAACATGAACAAATACAGTAGTAAATGTATTGTTCATTGTTTGTTCATGTTAGTAAATGCATTAATTAACATTAACTAATGAACCTTATTGTAAAGTGTGACCAAAATATAGTATGTTTAATATTTCATATAATAATCTATTCAATCATAGCCTAATATTTTATAGTAAAAAATATTTTAAATTACAATTTAGAAGCAGCTGAAATCAGGTTAGTCGATCTTTTAAACAGCAGGTGGCACTGTGAAGGTCTGGAAACGCAGGTCTAGCTGTCTCAGCGAGGTGTGAGCGTGCAGTTGGGTCTCCGGGCTATCAGCTTCATACTATTAGCGGAGGCTAAACTTTGAAACCGAAACCCCCTTTGCAAGATTCGCCGCATCTATACCTGATTTGCGTTCAAAAATACCTGCTTAATTATTTCATAGTAGGAGCAAACATGGCTTAAGAAAAGGAGTACGTTTGAAACTATAGTAACCATATAAAGTCCGCCAGGTGGATGCCTTTCTACTCCAGGAAGCCGCAGCATACGACCTAAAGGAGGAAGAGGATGCGGTCAGTTTGAAATGTGAATATTAAACCAAAGACAGTTCCTTGTGTTAAACTCGTATTTGTTGAGCTACTGTACAGTGCACTGTAGAATTGCTGAGGGTGTAAAGAGGCTTTAAACTATAGTCTATTTTATTTCGATGTAAACGTTGATTACGTAATGTTACGTTCTCCAGTTAGCACATATAAAGTAACGTTTTAAAAGAAAAAAAGATTATTATTAAATGTCTGACAGAAAAATGTGAAGTATTGCAGATCACAAGACTAAACAGACATCTGAGTGAGTGATGTATTTATGCAGATGTAGAATCTGCTGTCAATTGACTGTTGCCAATACTGTTTAAATTGGATACATGTAATCTTAATAAATGAGAATAAAGGGTCATTTGTTTAATCTGTGCATCAGTGTAGTTGATCAATTGAGTAACTGTGACCGCGTGAGCTTAAAAAAAAAACACGTTTTGGCAAGCCAGACTCATTTACAATCTTGATTAAAGTGTTCTGTTTTAATAATTTTAAACAATTCAGGCTGCAAAAGATGAAAGAGAAACTAATTCAGCATAGAGCGCAGATTTCTGTGCGCATCATGCGTCTGAATGCGCATCGCTAAATGAGATCGGGTAAGTTGGTTTTTAATATCAGTTCATGCAGTTGTAATTCATACAATAGAAAGTCTTAAAGAACACAAACGGTTAAACAGCACTGTGGGATAAGTGAGAAATGTATATAATTAAACATTATAGAATTTTTCTCACGGAAAGAGCTAATATTAATCTGTTAATGACTCACAGAAACGGACAGATCACAGGCAGTTTCAGTAGTAAAGTTCGTGCAAAGTGCAACATACACAATTCAAACACCAGTGCAAAGCACTTTATTGCAGTTTGTGTCAAAAATCAATATTTCGACACATATCCACACATAATCTTGCTTTCGCTTTCCTCTCTCTAAATGCGCGCTCTTCTCTTGACGCGCGCTGCTGTGTGTACCTCATCTGTAAATTTGGAGAGGTTAGTAACTGAACTCATTTCAATATCACTGACTCGATTAATTAAATACGAAAGCCGTGTAACGTGTCATCGATTGACGTGCTGTCTTTTTTCCCCTTTGAATCTCTCAAATTATCATATGTGATCTCTCTGTTATTGGACTTTTAAACTGATAAGGGAAAAACGTCAAAATCATACACAAGATATCTTAAACTGTTACTGTTCACTGTTGTGGTCAACAATAGTGCAATACAATATTAAAAATTCAGAATTCAATAATGAATAAATCTTAATAATTCAAGATGTTTCAGGGAGCAGGTCGATGCACACAAAGAACGCTATGATAAAGCATGTGAAACGCCATGTGTGTGTCGATTAAAACATGTTATATGCGAAATAAATTCAGAATTTTTTTGATAGGCTATAAATGATACTGTATTAGCTATCTACCACTAATAAGTAGGTTAATATGCAAAGAAATTCTGCTATTCAAAAATTAGTTTGTTAGTTATAAAAAATACTAATGTCCATATTGGCTCTGGTGCATTAAATAATAATAATAACATTAAGATTTTTTTTAATCACAAAATATAGAAAATGGTATGGAATGTTGATATTTTTTAAAGGTATCATCTTAAAGTTGTAAATTCCAACACTACAGTTAAAACATATTTAATTTTTATAATTCTGCTTTTGCTGAACAAATGATAAAATTTTTTAATTTTAGGGAATAAAAAGTTTTATATTGTTTGTCAACTCTGTCATGGATGATTTTAGTAATGTTTAGAAATAATAATAAATCATAGCAAGAAAAATTGTAATGTGTAGTTACTAAATTTAAACTGAATTGACCATAATTTACAGTATTACAACTTTTTAGCCAAACCTTCTACTTGCTATAACTGCAAAGATCACATGATACTAATGAAATCAGGATTAAAATATTTTTTTTTTGTAAAATATGTAATTAATGAAATATTCAGTTTTCCTTTTGTAATTGTGATAATAATAGCATTGACAGTTTACAGTTTAAACGTTTAAAATTAAAATATTGGTGAAATTGTTTTTTAAAGAAAAGCAAAATAAAATATTTTTGCATGATGGAAAAATGCACTAATTCGTAAATCAAGAAATCGTGATTTTTTGGTAATATGATCTTTGAAAATGATGAACACATTTTAAAAATAATCAAAAATGTAACAATGTAATGTAACAATTTTTTAAAAGCTGAAAAAAAGGATGGCTTTGGTCACTAAATGTACCTGCAACTACAGAATCACCCATATAGTTCATGGAGAGCAACATGTTTTTCTGGAGTTTTCTTGCAAAACTTGGCAAACATCACTTAAGCAAGCAAACGCTGACATAAATATAATCTGCAGTTCAAATACTAGTTTTAAAATAAAAGTAGTTTGCTTTATTAAAATGACAGAGAATACTAAAAATTATTTTATTACCTTTAAAATAATTGTTTATATATATATATATATATATATATATATATATATATATATATATATATATATACTGTATATATATATATATATATATATATATATACACACACACACACACACACACACACACACATATATATATATATATATCCAAGTTTCAAGCTGGAGCCGGGCCTGATCACAGAGGTGATTTATTCTAAAATCGATGTTACAGGGAGGCTTTTATTGAGTACAGTAGAGAAATTAAAAAAAAAACATATTTTACATTTGCTATTTATTGTTAGTTAATGTATTTTCAAACAGTGATTACATCAGCTTTCTGATTGCTGATGGAGCTGGACCTGTAGACAAGGGAACTGACACATTTGAGGAAAACAGAATCCAAAATAAAAGGTAGGATAATTTTATTACTAGCACTACAGAAATCAAATGACACATTGTGCAGTAAGATGACTTTGTTTTTTAAATGTTTTTTATGATCTGAAATATCTGTAGATTAGTGTGTGTGGTGAGGGTAAAGAAGTCCACAGCAGCATCCTGGAAATGCTGTAATGCAGGGGTGCCCAAACTCAATTCTGGACAGCTGGTGAAGTTTAGAGTCAACCTAAACTAAACTCTGCAAGACAGCAGCAGTTCTGGACTGAGTTTGGCCACTCCTGTTCTCCTGTAGTGAATTGAACGAGACTCTGCATCAGTCCACCTGTCCTTGTGTCCTCATCTGGACCAGATGTTGCTGTGGTCTCTTCATCATCCCTATCTCGGGCATGGACTGCCATGCATCACCGTCCTGTTTCAGTCTGACTGCAGCAATGAGGGATGTGATGATGGCGAACTCCCTCTGATCATCTGCAGAACTGGCCCAGCTGTGTGAAGACACAGCAAAACATGGGCTCCTGCCTGTAATACATCTCTGTTAGAATATAGCTTGGTTTCATGCGTTGGTGACTTGTATTTATTTGTCATGATTACTTATATTCATTCTTTTCATAATATAATAATTTTTCTGTTTGTTTTTAATAAATAATGATAATACTTTCAATATTGTATGCATTTCCATTGTTTAACAGAAATGTAAGAAAATAAGATGCATTGTCCAGTGACTTCAAGTAGATTTACTTAGTTAATTGTCCACATTTATCATTACTAGCAATGCATTCTTGGCTAAAATGTTAAGTAAACATACATTTTTTGGAGTGTAAAATTAATCATAAAAAATTGTAGCATTAGTTATTAAGGTAAAGTTTGTTTTATATTTGCACATTTAAACATTTCAATGGTCCCTATGTTGTTTACTATGGTACTTTAAATATTTGGTTTGAATGACTTCAAAACAACATTAGCACTAATATTCAATTGACAGTGGACAGTGCTGTATTTTGATAATCATTGGCTTCTAATATGATTTCCCTATATAGAATTTGAAAATCTTTTTCTGAAATTACATTAAGGAGAAAGTCAGAATGAGCAACTATAAAACCAGCTTCACCTCAATGCATTGGATGCACCCTGGTCTGCCAGTTTTCTAAAACAAATATAGCCTATGAATTAAATAGTTTAATCGTACTATGTGATAAGACTGAATAGCAAACTTGACATTAGGGCAAGCTAGCCACGTTACCTTTCGTAAAACAAGAATTGTTATCCTAGCTATGAATACTGATCACTAACATAGTTTTATTTAAACTAACATCAAACTGTACAACTATAAGTGGTTTTATAAAAAGAAGCAATGAAAACGTACCTTAACTGTACTGCTGCTTTCAGGATTTCATCGATTCAGCTCTGCAGAAAAAGCACACACACACCAGCAATCAGAAAGCTGATGTAATCACTGATTGAAAATACATTAACTAATAATAAATAGCAAATGTAAAATGTGTTTTTTTAAATATCTGTACTGTACTCAATAAAAGCCTCCCTGTAACAGAGACTAGAATAAACCACCTCTGTGATGTCACACTGTTCAAAGAAGACGTGGAGACCCAAATGCAAGCGACAGTTTATTTACAACTCAGAAGAGACAACACAGAACAAAGAGAAGCTGGCTGGGTCCGTGTATCATCCGTTCATTTGATTATTCCTTTTATTACGGAAAACGAAACATCAGAAAAACGATGAATATTTCGTTTTTCTGTTTATTCTGTAGGCAGAAAAAACGGAAACTCATCTGTTATTCTGCTTATTAACTTAAAACGAAATATTAAAACAAACACAAAACCAAAACGAAATAATGAGTCAAAATATGGTCCGTGTGCGGTCCGTGTACGTTTTGTTCATTTGTTTTCCATTTTCAAACGGAATAAAGGAAATGGAGAAAACGGCCGTTTTTCCGTTTTTCTTTTGCTCACGAGAAAACGAAAAAACGAGATTTTGGCTGGATTTTCGTTTTTTTGGATTAGGGTAGGAAAACGGATAAACGACTTTAAAATTCATTTTACACATGTAGGCGGTGCTGAAACGCCCACTTTCCTCTAATTGGTCAACCAAATCTGCGCTCGTGACGTCACCCTCAAAATAAAAGCCTTACACGCAGGCTTTTAATTATTATTATTTAATTATATATATAAACAAAGTTTACATATTCTATCATTTGAACCACACACAGTTAGCAGGCTTACATTCATTGCGTATGTATAAATTAAATAAAAACGTAAATCAGCAGTATTCTTAGACATTTGTCATTAAAATAAGGTCATAGTTCACTGCCAAGCTTCTTGCTGCTGTGCACCTGATGCTGAGCAAAGAAAGCCATTTCCGAGCAGCACCTGGTTTACATGATTGTTTTAGAGCTATTGTAGGCCTAAATATTAGCCTACTCTGTATAAAATAATAATTTATTATTATTATTATTATTATTATTATTATTATTAGGCCTATTATTATTAGTATTGTTATTATTATTATTTACTTAGTTATTTAATGCTTGTAAGAACACAATGGACCCTGCATGGGGCTATAATAAATGGTACCATTTGTTTCTATTGGATTTTCTCCTATTTTAATTTAATATATGCCTTTAGCCTATTGTAAATATTTATTTGATAATTAATACTTTTTTATTGCAACGTCAAAGTAGGCCTGTCTTATTATTATTATTTTTTGTTATTATTTTGTCGTTGTTGTTGTTGTTGTTATTATTATTGTAGCAGGGACATAGCCACAGGTGTGGCAGAGTGTGCTGGTGCCACCCAAAGTGGCATCTTGCACCTGAAAATAGATGCCTTCGCGCTCAAGCGCGCGCAAAAAACTTGCACAGGCAAAAGTAATGATGAATGTGTTGAAGGAAAAAAAAACATTCTAATTATTTGTTAATAAAATAGTGCAACATTATTCTCAGTCAGTGTAGGCTGAAAAAATTAAGATCGCCAGCATTTCAAGGGTGGTTTTATTTTTAGTTCATTGCTGTGACGCGCTATATTTCACTAAGGCTGCATGAGACTGCGCATCTTGCTTATTTTCTCTATTTTACATACAGAACATATCAAACAGTCCAGGTTCTACCGTTCTAGTGAGTGTGGGGCATTGCTTTACGGTGGTAAAGTGGATTATTTCTTGGCAAATTCATAATGATTCACTTTGTTTAGTAATAAATTTCATAGTCATAAAATAACTACATTTCAAGAATATGTTAACACTTTCAACTATTTAGGATTATTTATTGCATCAAAAGTAATTTCAAAGTAACATTAAATGTACGTATAAACTGCTTAATTTGTGTGTGTAAACACCTAAGATGCAAAAAGCTTATTTAGACCAGAATAGGCCTACTAAATGCAACGGTCAATGTATGTAAACTTATGACCAAAAATGTCTTAAATTACTAAATTTAAGTCTTTTTAAGTTTTTAAATAATTTAAGTTTAACATAAATGATTTAAACTTTAAACTTCAAATTAACAGAGTATGGCAAATAAATTGTTTATTAAATGGAGGTCAGGTGTCTATCTTAATTATAATTATTAAATATTATGACACTACAGTGGTGTATTGGAGAGTAAGCACCTTTTAATTAATTAATTTTAAATAAGTGGTTTATCCTAAATAAAATGCAATGGGATCGGTGTGCAATGAATAGTTTGAAAACCCCTGGTTCAGACTAGACGAGCTAGCTGTCTGTGCGCTGCGCTAATAACTTGGCATTTGCTCTTTTCGGTGCTGCCAGATGCATTTATAGTGCATAAAAAAAATAAAAAAGGTAATTCGGTAAAGCGCGCGATGCGCGCAGAAATAAGCGCACTATATGCATATGTCGAATTAAGTTCTCTTTTTCTTTAATCAAGACTTTTCCATTCGAGGAATTACAGTTATTAATAGCTTAGTCCTTATAAACGATCAGTTTATAAAATACACAATTTACGGATCAAGCCTAATGAAGAATAAGAAGAATATGCAACGCATTATGATCCTTGAATGATCAGAGCGCATTTATATAAACTATAAATTTTATATAATCCATAAATATTAAAAAACATTATACATTTAAAGTAATGGAACATTATATGTTATAAAATCTAAACTATTATTTAGGCTACAGGGTGTTCAGCGCGTGCGTCAAAGAAAAAACATGACACAATCTCTATAAAAACTAGTTGTTTATTTACAATATCTAAAGGGATATAAAACATCTAGCATGCATCTCCATTCTCAACGAGTTTCTGTGTCCTGCATCCTTCACAGACCGAGGTCTCATTCCGAGGTAATCTGTAAATGTTCTGGCACATTCTTGATTAAAGGTGAAACTGACCGGCGCAACGGATGATTTGTCATCTAGGGTGACTACAGTTATAATACAGGTTATGGAACTATTTCACTTTAATTTCATATTATTATTTTATTAAACAAACAAACCAGTTTTTGTTTTGGCTCTGCATCCAGCGTATTGGATCTTTGAAGCATTGCACTTCAAATGTTATTCTTTTTTTTTTTATTGCATTTTTAATATTTTTAATTATACAACACAAAATTGGTTCTAAACAGATACATTTTCCTATAGGCTATGATGAAGTGTATATTTTTGTTCACACAGGTCCTATACAAAACTGTGTGGATGGATGATTTGTTTCTCCGTGAAAATCACTCATTTAATAAGCAAAACAGGCCAAAATGTTGTTTAGCTTGCGTCAAACTGGATGGACAATTTACAAACATATTGAATACAAAGGCTGGTTATTTTATGCAATGAGGGACAATAGGCCTATTACAAATTAAATAAAATTATTTGCATATTAAAACGAAAATATAATACAACAACAGATCCTACCTCGTAAGAAATGACTTTAGATAATGTAAATAAGCATCAAGTTTTTTTTGAGATTGTGTGTCTAATTCAGTAGTGTAGTGCGTTCGCGTGGGTTTCCTCCGGGTGCTCCGGTTTTCCCCACAGTCCAAAGACATGCGGTACAGGTGAATTGGGTAGGCTAAATTGTCCGTACTGTATAAGTGTGTGTGTATGTGTGGATGTTTCCCAGAGATGGGTTGTGGCTGGAAGGGCATCCGCTGCGTAAACACTTGCTAAATAAGTTGGCGGTTCATTCCGCTGTGGTGACCCCAGATTAATAAAGGGACTAAGCCGACAAGAAAATGAATGAATAATGTGCAATACTAATTTAAAATACGTATCACTAACCTTATATGTGAAATAGCAGGGCCCGCTGTAGCACTTTCTCAAGAAGAGCAAATGTCAAATTATTAGCGCAACGCACATGTAGCGAGCTCATCTGTTTGTTGGAACTACTAGACACAAATTTTTTATCAACTATAATGTGTTTAATTAGTTAATTTGAAATTTATTTCATTATTCCAGCAATAATTGTTGAGTGAAAGAATGCGCTAGAAATATGCATTGCGGCTCTCTTTATTGTACAGGCTTATTGCACTTAAACTTTTTTAGGTTCGGCTCTCGAATTAGTAAGGTTATGAGTAAATGTTATTTAAAATATTTAAAGCCTGCCATCTAGCCTACAATAACAGCAAATTTAATAATAAAAAAATAATAAGACAGGCCTACTTTGGCGTTGCAATACAATAGTATTAATTAGCAAATAAATAATTACAATATATAATTAAAATAGGAAGAAATAAATGAAAACAAATGGTACCCTTTGTTTTTATAGCAGGGCCCAAAGTGTTCTTATTCTGGTTCTGCTATCAACTATTAAAAAGAAAAAAAAAACACACCAAACAATAAAAACACTAGTAACTGATAATAATAATAATAATAATGATAATAATAATAATAATAATAATAATAATAATAATAATAATAATTATTATTATTATTATTATTATTATTATTATTATTATTATTATTATTATAAAGCCCTTGCTCTGAAACAATAATGTAAACCAGGTGCTGCTCGGAAATGGCTATCTTTGCTCAGCATCAGGTGCACAGCAGCAAGAAGCTTGGCAGTGTACTATGACCTTATTTTAATGACAAATGTCTAAGTATACTGCTTTATGTTTTTATTTAATTTATACATACGCAATGAATGTAAGCCTGCTAACTGTGTGTGGTTCAAATGATATATGTAAACTTAGTTAATATATAATTAAATAATAATAATTAAAAGCCTGCGTGTAAGGCTTTTATTTTGAGGGTGACGTCACGAGCGCAGATTTGGTTGACCAATTAGAGGAAAGTGGGCGTTTCAGCACCGCCTACATGTGTAAAATGAATTTTAAAGTCGTTTATCCGTTTTCCTACCCTAAACCAAAAAACGAAAATCCAGCCAAAATCTCGTTTTTTCGTTTTCTCGTGAGCAAAAGAAAAACGGAAAAACGGCC